ATGAGTGTTATGCCTGCATGTAGGTAAGTGTACCCGTGTCGTGCAATGCCTGCAGAGGACAGAAGAGACTGTCAGATCCCCTGGAACTGGAGTTACAGACAGTTGTTAGCTGCCATGTGGGTGCTGGGATTCAAACTCTGCAAGAACAGCCAGTGTTCTTAACTGCTGAGCCAGCCCCTGCCTGTGTGAATTTATGCGCACTATGTGCATGCAGGAACCTCTGATCCCCTGGAACTGGAGTCACAGGTAGTTGAAGGCAGCCATGTGGTTGCTAGGAACCAAACCCAGGTCCTCTACAAGAGTAATAAACGCTCAACCACTGAGCCATCTCTCCAGCTCCCAGTTTCCTTTACTTTCTGAATCTTATGAGCTTCCCTCCTCCCCTCTGGGGGGAATATTTCAATGCAGAGGAAATGGCTCAACAACACTAGTCCAGGCTGGCTTTGAACTTGCAGTGATCCTTCTACCTCTGCCTCCAGAATGCCGTGATTACTGGTGTGTGCCACCATGACCAGCTTACTCTAGTCTTCTTGTGATGAGAGATGACTGTTCCCAGCTTCCCAGAGGGTTGGGGTGTGTACCCCTAAAAACACAGACCTCATGCTCCAGCCCCATTCTCCAACCATGAATAACTGAGAAGTCATGGGAAGATAAGAACTCTTCCACAGAGTCACATCCCTATTTCTTGTAACTGAGAAATCTTAAGGACACTTCTTGTTGTAGGAACCAGGTTCCCAGAGTTAACAGCAATCAACCCATCAGTAGTAGCTATCAAATGTTGTATAAAAAATCACCTAGGGGCTGAAGAGATGGCTCAATGGTTAAGAGCACTGGCTGCTCTTGCAGAGGACTGGGGTTGGATTCTCAGCACTCACATGGTGGCTAACACACATCCATAACTCCAGTTTCGGGGATCCAATGCCCTCTTCTGACCTCTGAGGTCATTGCATGACATGGGTGTGCTTACATACATGCAGGCAGTATACTCCTACACATAAAATGAAAATAATAAATAAAATATTTTAAATTAAGAAAAAATCACCTCAAAATGGTATGGTGGCATGCACTTTTGATTTCAGACTCAGGAAGCAGAGGCAGGCAATCTCTGTGAGATTGAGGCCAGCCTGGTCTACATGGTGAGCTCTGATCTGCTGGGGCTACAGAGAGACTCTGTTTCAAAAAAACCAAAACAAAACATCACCTCAGTAGGCATGGTGGCAAAGGCCTTTAATCCCAGCACTTGGGAAGCAGAGGCAAGCAGACCTATCTCTGTGAGACTGAGGCCAGCTTAGTCTACATAGTGAGTTTCAAGGCCAGCTGGGGCTACAGGGAGACTCTATCTCAATAAACAAAAGCAACAAAAAATCACTTCAAGCCTGTAAATTAAGCAACAGCTGGCATCGGTCATCTCTAGCTAAAAGCCTGCAGTGGTTTGGCTATGGCAGAGTGTCCCCCTGGAATTTATGAGTTGGAAGCTTGAGTCCCAGGGAGGCCTCAGTATGAGAAATGGTGAGTTAACTGCATCTTGTTACTCCATAAGTTAGCCTGTGTCCAGTAAATACAGGTCTCTTGCCAACTTGTAAACCAGAGGTCAGTAGGGCTGTGGTGTTAATTTCTGAGGTGACATTCTCATGGCTCTCACATCAGTGCTACTTGCAAGCAGGAGGCTTTGATTTCTCTCCCAACTGCATCTCTTTGAGTGTCCTCAGAGAATGGCAGCTGCTTCCCAGAGTGCCACCTAAGAACCAGAGCAGGAAGTGCAATACCTTTATGACCCAAGCTTGGAGGTCTAGCACAGTCACTTCTGCCTGACTGCTGGATACACATGCAGTACGACTCTGACTCCGTGGGAAGACTATACAGGAACATGAATGTCAGAGGTGGGGACCAATGGGGACAATCTTAGAGAATGCCTGCTATGACATTTCTTACTCTCTTCCTGTTTGTTTTTCTTTTCTTTCTCAGCCTGTCCCTGAACCACGACAGAGCCACCAGCATTCCCGGACCACACTCTGCCTGCTTAATGACCCCAGTGGGAAGAAATGATCTCTCTACTCAAAGTTCTGGCAAAGGTCCCAAAGCTGACTCTGATTGACCTAAGCTATACATATGCTTATGTCCAAACCAATCACTATGGTCTCCAGAAGCCATGCTACCCACATGCAGGCGATACTCTTATACGCATAAAAACCCATGTTGTGAAATGCCCACAGAGGTCAGAAGAGGGCACAGATCCCCTGGAACTGGAGTTATGGGTGCTGGCTCAGCACCCAGGTCTTCTGCAAGAGCGGCCAGTGTTCCTTCCTCTCCACCCCCGTGTTCCTCTATTCATTCTTGGCTGCCACAATCAGACAGTTTTTTGGGTCTTTTTGAGACAGGATCTCCCTGTAGCCCCAGCTGACCTGGAACTTGTCATGTAGACCAGGCTGGCCTCGAACTCACAGAGATCTGCCTGCCTCTGCCTCCCAAGTGCTGGTATTAAAGGCGTGCACCACCATGCCCAGCTAACAGCCAGTGTTTAACTGCTGAACCATCTCTACAGGCTTCAAGTAAGTCTTGATCTAGATTATTTTGTAAAATAATTTTTTGAGGTGCCATGAATCAAGCCCATAGCCTTTTTCATGTTAGGCAAGTGTAGGCAAGTGTTCACATCCCCAGTTTTTCTAGAAGAGGATTTTGCCAATGTTGGTGGGCATGATGGCACATGATACTGGGGCGACTGAGGCAGGAGGATCAAATTCAAGGTCAGCCTGAGAAACAGTAGAAAGGAAGGAAGGACGGAAGGAAAAGAGAGAGAGCAGTGAAGATAGGAGAGAAAAGAAAAGAGATAAAAAAGACTTTGCAAATATAATCAAGGCCATATACTGGTTGAACTCACAAGGTTATTCTTGATGGGCCTGACCTAATCAGATGAACCATCAAAAGGAGTAAGGATTTTCCTGGTAAAGCAGATACAAAGCATGAAGCAAATCAATATAAGAGACATCTCTGATACTGGCTTTAAAATCAGAGGCAGCATGTGGCCAGAAATACAGGCAGCCTCCAGAAATCAAACATAGCCTGACATGGTGGCACATGCCTTTAATCCCAGTACTTGAGAGGCAAAGGAGTTGTATTTCTGTGTATTTCTTGTGGTAGCAAGTTCCAGGCCAGCCAGGGCTACATAGCAAGACTCTGACTCAAAGAAAACAAAACAGAATCCATGACTGACAGACTACAAGGAATCAGGAACCTCTATCCTTCAGCCACATGAAACTGAATTCTGCCAAGAACCCAAATGATCTTGGGAGGGAATCTTCCCTCGGAACCTCCAGAGAACTCAACTTGAACCTTTCAGCTCTGTTACATCTGAGCAGAAACCCTAACTAGGTGTTTCCCTTTGAGTTTGTGACTGCATGGACATTGTTTTAGACTCTGTGTGGTAATTGGTTACACAACAGAAGAAAACAAATATGGTTCCCAGTGGACTCTAAGATTCCTCTCAGTTACAGGGCTTCTTTTCAACCATCCTCATCCCCTCACCCTCAATAGGGCCTGGAAACACAAGTATGTCCTATAAGCCAGAAGGCAGGGCCCCTCATTATTCTATCCCCACCAGCCAACTTCTATCCCAGGAATCAGGAGGAAGCTGTTCTGCTGGGCTATAGACAGCCTGTGTTTCCCAGGTTCAGGAGGAAGCTTGACCAATCTCCACTTTCCAGGTATCAGAGACCTTTGCCCAGCCCTATTGATCTGCCCTTCTGGGCAGGCAGTGGGACCATCAGACAGACGCCATGAGGGCTCTACTGCTGCTAGGGTCCTTCCTCATTAGTCTGGAGTCAACAATTTCGGTGAGGACTGTGGATACAGGGTTGGGTCAGGATGGCAGTGAAGGGTCCCTATCCTAATTTTGGCCTCTGCCCATCACCTGCTAGTCCAGGTGACTGGGAGGACTGGGTGAAAGTCAGGGCCAGCCCAGAAGGCCCAAAACTGAAGAGACAGCAGCCTGCACCAGAGGGCATGGCCTGCATTTGTCGGGGAGACAGTGGGAGGAGGAAGGAGGGCCCTGTCTTGTGATGAAATCCTTTATTTGGGGGTGGTAGGAGGAAGCTGGGGCCTAGCATAGGATCAGGGAAAGTCTTACATGCTAGCCAACTTTTGAGCCTTCTCTCTCTCATAGGTTCCACCATGGAAAGCCCCCAAGGAGTTCAAGCAGGGAGCTGATGAGTCTACTGTGGGTAAGTGGCCTGGCTCCTCTTCCTAACAAAGCTTCAGGTAGACATGAGTGTGCTCCAGCCAGCGCTATCTCCTGGAGACCGCCAGTGCCCCTCCTAGAGCCAGGGAGGGATCCTGAACAAAGCTGTTCTGGCTGGTATTCAGACTTGAATGCCTGCTTCCTGCCACATCTTGGGCCTGTGGGTGCTGTGGACCCAGAATGATAGCAAGTTGTGTACTCCTGAGGGCAGGGCTTGCTGTATTTGATGTTTGTTTTAGAGCCAGGCAGGTACTTAAGTGTCGGAGGGTGTGCTATTGGTGCTATCACACCTAGACTCTTACCTACCTCCCTCAGTTTCCCCATCTTCCCCCTTCTTTTCCTTTCAACATATCTGGAGGACATCAGTCATAACATAGAGCGGTCAAGCCCTCAATGGACAAGGGAGCCAGAACAGGGCTTCAGACTTGCTCAAGAGTACAAATACCCCAAATATCTCCAAATCCTAGATTCCCCACTTATGAGCTGCATGACTGGGTGAATGACCGTGTGCTTCAATTTTCTGCATCTGTAAAACTGGGCTGGTCATAGTGAATCTCTCAGGGTTGTTGAGAGGAGAAAAGTATCACTGTAAAGCATTCCATCCACAGCCTGTATGTCAGGTAACTTTAAAATCTTAGCTGATAGGCTGGGGCTGTAGCTCAATGGTTAGAGCAATTGCCCAGCATGCACACGGCCCTCAACTTGATCTCCAGTGCTGTGAAAGAAAAGAACCTTAGCTCTTGTTAACATGTTCCACTTAGGTGAAGGGTACCTACCATCTTCCCCTTCCTCAAATCCTGCCATAGTGCTCTATTACCTTCATTCATCCAGACACTATTTATCTAGAGCATGCAAAGTACTGGGGCTTGTGAGCAGGGGAACCTGCTCTGGTGAGCCTGGACTGGGGGTTCAAGCCAAGGCCTGTAATGTGCTGCCTCACATTGAGGCCCAGTACAACATGAACCTGTCCTTCAACAGCCTATCTTCTAACCCCACCTTAAGCCAAATTGTTGTCCTCCCTCTCAACTGACTCAATTGTGGTTCCCTGTTCCTAAAGGTCTAGCTCAGCTCTTTCACTTTATCATGTTGGTGCTACTATACCATTTAAAACAAAATAGCAGGTGGGGCATGGTGGCCTTTAATTCCAGTACTTGGGAGGCAGAGGCAGGCGGATCTCTGTGAGATCAGGGCCAGCCTGGTCTACATGATGAGATCCAGGCCAGCTGGGGCTACTGGGAGATTGTTCTAGTTTGCATTCAATTGCTGTGACAAAACACTCTGACAAAAACCAACTTGGGGAGGAAAGGGTTTATTTGGCTTATATCTCCCAGGTAATACTTTATCAGTGATGGCTGAGCCCAAGGTAAGAACTCAGGGCAGGAGCTCGGAGGCAGGAGCTGAAGCACAGGCCATGGAGAATGCTGCTTACTGGCTTGCTCCCCTGGCCCATGCTCAGCCTGCTTTCTTATACAATACAGGACTATCTGCCCAGGAGTGGCACCATCCACAATGGACTGGGCCCTCCCATATCACACAACAATCAAGAAAATGCCCCACAGACATGGTCACAGGCCAGTTCAATGGAGACACTTCCCCAATAGAGGCTCCCTTTACCCAGGTGCGTCAAGTTGACAACTAAAGCTATCCAGCGCAGAGACTGTCTCAAAAAACAAAAAACCCAAAGCAAAACAGCAGCAAATTTTATTGACCACATAGTAGGTGTTAGGTATAGTTTCACAAGCAGTATGTCATTAATCTTCACAGTATTCATCTAAAGTAGACACCGTTATTTCTTATTGGTGTAGTAATATTCTATGAAGCTGCCATGGACTTCACAAATACTGTAGGTTCCTGGTTATGACATTTTCATCAATCTTCAACATATTGCCTTGTTTTATGTGTGATTCTTTGTGTATGCTGTTGATTCTTTACCATTGACCTCATAACCAATAGCACTATACTGCCTTTCTGGATGAAGCCTAACACACATTTTCTCCATAAGCCACATGGCAGCTTCTTGTGTTGTTGGGGTAGGAACCTGCAACACTTTAGCACAAGCTTGAGATCATATTTCTCTCTCTCTCTCTCTCTCTCTCTCTCTCTCTCTCTCTCCCTCTGCCCCCCTCTCTCTTCTTTTTTCAGTACTGGGAATTGGACCTAGGATCCTATACATACTAGACAAATGCTTGATCATTGAGCTATAGCCCTAGACCTCTTTTAAAAAGTTATTATTGTTATTATGGTTTTTTCCTTTTTATCTTTTTGATATAGGGTCTCCCTGTAGCCCCAGTCTAAAACTCTATGTAGGCCAGGCTGGCCTTGATCTCACAGAGATCTTCCTGCTTCTGCCTCTTGAATGCTGATATTAAAGGTGTGTGCCATCATGACCAGTTTAAAAAGTTATTATTTGTGTGTGGGTGTGTGTGTGCCATGATATGCATGTGGAAGTCAGAGAGCAACTTTCATTACTTGGGTTCTAAACTTCACTTTGCTGAGGCAGGGTCTCTCATTTTTGCTGCTTCGATGCTTTGTACTTCAGGCTAGCTGGCTTGTAGGAATGCTGGGGTTACAGATGCATGGCACTGTATCTGGCTTTTTACAGGGGTTCTAAGCTCAAACTTGGGTTGTCAGGCTTCTGTGACTAGAATTTTACCCACTGAGTTATCTCCTTGGCCTCCTAGTCCTCTTTTTATTTTGTTTTGAGACAGAATATCCCTAAATTTCTCAGGCCACTGCTTTAACATTTTTTAAAATTGAGCCAGGAGTGGTGGTGTATGTCTTTAATCCCAGCACTTGGGAGGCAGAGGCAGGCGGATCTCTGTGAGTTCAAGGCTAGCTTGGTCTACATAGCGAGTTCCAGGCCAGCTAAGGCTACAGGGAGATCCTGTCTCAAAAATACCAAAAAAAATTTTTTTTAAATTGAGGGGCTGGAGAGATGGCTTGCAGAGGACCTGGGTTCAAATCCCAGCACCCATATGGCTACTAACAACCATTGGTAACTCCAGTTCCAGGGGATCTGATGCCTTCTTCTGACCTCCACAGACACTGCATGACACAGGTACACTTACACACATGAAGGCAATTCATGCATACACATAAAATAAAAATAATGAATAAAATATTGTAAAATTTTTATTGAATTTTTGTTCATTTAGTACAATATATCTTGATTATGTCTAGACATTCTCCCTTATCTGCCACCCCAATCACCCCTCCAGATTTCATGCACTCTGTCATATATATTAAAGCCTATCAAGTCAAGTTTGTGTCCCCCAAATGTTCCTTGATATGACTCCATCCACTGGAGCCTGGACAACCTATCTAGCATCACTCTGTAAAAAAAGACTAACTCAAGCTGGGTGTGGTGGCACACGCCTTTAATCCCAGCACTTGGGAGGCAGGATCTTTATGAGTTCAAGGCCAGCTTGGTCTACATAGTGAGTTCCAGGACAGCTGGGACTACAGGGAGACCATGTCTCAAAAACACCAAAAAAAAGAAAGGAAAATAAAAAAAGACCAACTCTCCCTCACTATCAGTGATCAGTTGCCAATACTTCTTCAGCTAAGGTTAGGGCTTCTTACCCATTTCTCCACTTATTTTTCTTTAATTTTTTAAAATTTATTTTCATTCTATGTGTATGAGTGTATTGCTTGCCTGCATGTATGTAGGTGTATGCCATGCAATGCCTGTGGAAATCAAAGACAGTGTCAGATTCCTCTGGAACTGGAGTTGCAGAGAGTTGTGGGTACTGGAAATTGAACCCGGGTCCTCTGCAAGAGCAGTCAGTGCTCTTAACCACTGAGCCATTTCTCCAGCCTCCATTTCCCTATTTCTGTGTTGGGTTTTTGTCTGGTTTGAGTTTGGATGGGTCTTGTGCATGCTGTCAATATTGCTGTAAGTTCATATGAGCAAGTTCCCGGAAGCCTGGAAAACTCTGTTTCTTTGTGCTCATCTACCACCTCTGACTCTTACAGTCTTTCCACCTCTTCTTCCACAATGGTCCCTGAGCCCTGGGTGGCTAGGAGTCTTATCCAGGGACATGTACTCTATAGTCTCTTATTCTCCATATTTTCAGGCCACTTGCTTTGAACTCACTCTATGGTCCAGATAGGCCTTGAACTTGTCATCCCTCTGCCTCAGCCTCCTGAAGAGCTGAGATTATGGACCTGTGCCATCAGGAAACAGCTGCTTGGGATTCTTTATTTCCTTCTTTCTTTTCTTTCTTACTTTTTTCTCTTTCCTTCCTTCTTTTCTTTTCTCTTTTCTTTTCTTTCTTTTCTTCTTTCCTTTGAGACAGAGTCTCCCTGTAGCCCCAGCTGTCCTCAGTCCACAGAGATTCACCAGCTTCTGCCTCCTGAGTGCCAGGATTAAAGGCACTACACCTGGCTTGGGACTATTTCTAGTGAAAAAAATCACCTATAAAAGATGAAAAATACTATGCTAAATAAATGGTGGGGTGGATACTTATTCATGGTGTGAAAGCTGAAAGGAGGCAGTATGTGGCCCTGTTGGGCCTCAGCTGGCACTGTACATATTTTCCACTGAGTGGTACAGTTCTATAAGTGATCATGAAAGAATGCCAAGTGTTTTTGGTTTTGTTTGTTTTTGTTTTGCTTTGTGGTACCTTGCACATGTTAGACAAACACTCTACTACTGACCCTCGGCCTGAATCTTGAATATTGGTTTGGGGGTTACAAATGAATTTTACTAAGCAGGCAGATTTGCAAATCTGGAATCAATGAATAATTAGCATTGTTATTGCCATTTTACAAATGAGCACAGTGAAACTTAAAATGGTTAAGTGACCTCAATGTTCAACAAGTATTTATTAAGTGCCAACTTTGTGACAAGCACTTGGGGCTTCAGACTTGCCCAAGGTCACATAGCTAGCAAGTGGTAGAGTCAGAAATCTGTCCCAGCTGCCTGACTCCAGAAGCCAACTAACCTAATTTCCTAAGCAGGATGCTGCCTGAATGCTCAGCTGTCTTTTCCAGGGCCTGTCCTTTTTCCAACCAGGCCCTGGGAGGCAGAACTTGGGCAGCTGGGCTTAAAGGCTGCCCTCAGGAAGTGTGTTATTCCTGCAGTTCTCACTGTCACCGGGGAGCTCTGCCACTTTCCCTTTCAGTACCACCGAAGGCTGCACCACAAATGCATCCACAAGGGCTGGCCAGGCTCCCGAACCTGGTAAGACTCCCATTAGGGGTTAGAGAAGGGGTCTGGGAGCAAGATTCTGCCTATCCTTCCATCCCAGAATCTTGTTTGGAGAAAGGGGATTATGGTAGGGGGGGCCAGCTGGGCAATGCAGGAAAGCATTGTGTGTTTCCCCAGGTGTGCTACCACTCCCAACTTTGATGAGGACCAGCAGTGGGGATACTGCCTGGAGCCCAAGAAAGTGAAAGGTACTATTCACAAGCAGTGGAGTGACCCAAGACTGCCTCCTGCTCCTCACTCTCCCCTCATCTTATTATCAGAACACTCCCCCCTCCCCCTACCCCCTGCCATACACATACAGACTTGGGATTCTGGGCACCCCTTCCCTTCTCCTGGAACATCCTTTTAAAACTCAAAGGAAGAATTCTGAGAATAGAGAACACCATTTTACAGACAAATTTGAGTTTTGGAAACTTGGAGTTCCGTGATCCTATGACCAGCAGGTTCAGGTCCCCTTGGTCCCCACCTGTGTGATGCAGGCTCCCCATGCTTCTTCCTGGTGTCTGTCTTTTAGACCACTGCAGCAAACACAGCCCCTGCCACAAAGGAGGGACATGTGTGAACACGCCAAATGGCCCACACTGCCTCTGTCCAGAACACCTCACTGGGAAGCACTGCCAGAGAGGTAAGGAGGACTGCCTGCCAAGAAGAGGTCCCTGGAACCCTGGAGACTTGGCATGGTCCCACTGGCTTCCTTTTATTCCCAGAGAAGTGCTTCGAACCTCAACTTCTCCGGTTCTTCCATGAGAATGAGATGTGGTTTAGAACTGGGCCAACAGGTGTGGTCAAATGCCAGTGCAAGGGTCCTCGGGCTCACTGCAAGCCACTGGCCAGTCAGGGTAAGTGGATGGATTGGGAACTGTGGGAAGGAGGGCAGAAAGTCAGAAGTTGGCAGGAGGCTGGATGGAATGGTACATCCAGGAATGGCTAAATTTGCTCCCCCGTCCCCACCCCCAGCCTGCCACACCAATCTGTGCCTCAATGGAGGCAGCTGCCTAGAGGTGGAAGGCCACCAACTGTGCCATTGCCCCGAGGGCCACACTGGACCCTTTTGCGACTTAGGTGAGTGAGAGCCTCAGGGAAAGCAGAAAGCCGCCCCCCCCCCCCCCATGCTGAGGTGGCTAAGGATCGTGGGAAAGTGAATGAGAGGGCAGCAACAGAGCCATTTCCTCTCTTCCTAGACTATAAGGCGACGTGCTATGTTGGCCGGGGGCTCAGCTACCGGGGCAAGGCTGGGACCACTCTATCGGGTGCACCGTGTCAGCGGTGGACCTCGGAGGCCACCTACCGGAACATGACAGCGAAGCAAGCGCTGAGTTGGGGCCTGGGCCACCATGCCTTCTGCCGGTTAGCCGGGTGGGACCAGGTAGGGCAATCCATTCCTTGCCAGGGCCCCCAGGAACTCCCTACGCACTAACACTGCCCTCTCTTGAGATTACAGGAACCCAGATAATGACACCCGGCCATGGTGCTATGTATGGAATGGCGACAGGCTGAGCTGGGAGTATTGCGACCTGGAGCAATGCCAGGCCACAACCCCGGCGGCGCCTACAGCCCGAGTTCCCCCTGGACATCAGAACCTGCCGGCGCCCCGGCCTTCAACACTGCAGACGCCTCAGCCCACGTCGCAGACGCCACCTCAGTCCTCTACCCTAGGTAGCTGGGAAGAGAAGGGGGTCGGAGTACAGAGGACATGGGCCCTACTTATTCCAGCATGCGCATCCCGGGTCTGCCTGGCCTTTCCTGTGCTCTTTCCACAGCCTTGTCCGCGCAGCGGCCTCCTCTGTCCAGGACCAGCACGCTGGGCTGCGGGCAGCGGCTCCGCAAGCGACTGTCCTCGCTGAGTCGCGTCGTAGGTGGAATGGTGGCACTGCCCGGGGCTCACCCCTACATAGCCGCGGTGTACTGGGGTGACAGCTTCTGCGGCGGCAGCCTCATCGCCCCCTGCTGGGTGCTGACTGCAGCTCACTGCCTGCAGAACCGGCAAGCTCCTCTCTGAATCCAGACCCGCACCTACACCCTCCTCCCCAGCATCCCTCCAGGGCTGCCCCTGGGAAGGGTTTGGGAACACCGGCACCCCCAGAACGTCTGTAGCCGGCCTGAGTACGCTTTCTGTCCCCACCATCCCACCGCAGGCCTGCGCCGGAGGAGCTGAAAGTGGTGCTTGGTCAAGATCGCCATAACCAGAGCTGTGAGCAATGCCAGACGTTGGCGGTGCACTCCTACCGCCTGCACGAGGGCTTCTCGCCCATCACCTATCAGCACGACCTGGGTGCGTGGGGGCGCCCCTGCGTGGGTGCGGGGAAAGGGCGGGGAGGGCTCGGCCCCGGGTCGCAGCCTAATGCTCCTCCCTATCCCCCGGGCAGCTCTGCTGCGCCTGCAGGAGACCCAGGGAGACAGCTGCGCGATCCTGTCGCCTCACGTGCAGCCGGTGTGCCTGCCCAGCAGCGCCACCCCGCCCTCGGAATCTGAGACTGCGCTCTGTGAGGTGGCCGGCTGGGGTCACCAGTTTGAGGGTAGGCACAGCTGTTGCGGGAGGGTGGGAGACCTTCCATCACCTGAGCCCTGGCTTCGTTATCCTCTGACCAGCCTGTGGGACACTTGACGCTGACCTGATCGTTCTGAAAACGTGCAGAGTGATCTTCCCAGAGTCTGGAATTCACTGCTGAGGTCCCCAGATCTCTTGGGGTTACAGAGAGGATCACACTTTCCCTTGGTTCTCTCTGGGCACCAAGCTGCCAGGGCTAAACCAGGATGTGGTCCCCACGCTGGAGCAACGGGAGCCAGGTTCTGAGACACTGAATAGGCACGAGCGAGGGGTGTTTCCTGCTTTAGCGGGGTTCGGTCCAATCCCAGCTCCTTTCTGGACCTCAGTTTTCTTGCTCGTGAAATGGAGCCCGGCGTGGCACCAACCCCTTTAATCTCAGCATTCCGGAGGCAGAGGCAGGCAGATCTCTGTGAGTTCGAGGCTAACCTGAATTCCTGTAGCCAGCTGGGGTTACAGGGAGACCCTGTCTCAAAAAAAAAAAAAAAAAAATCAAAACAAAAATGGCTTATGAAGTGGAGTTAGGGGTAATTTCGTCCTGCGCAGGCCTGCTGTGAGGGTAGGAATAGAATCGCCTGGTAGCCTCGCCCACGCAGCGAGCCAGGTCCGCGGAGTGAGGAAGGTGCTCTGGATTCACAGGCGCGGAGGAATACTCCACCTTCCTGCAGGAGGCACAGGTGCCATTCATCTCCACGAATCTCTGCTCCAGCTCTGATGTGCACGGGGACGCCATCCTCCCCGGAATGCTCTGCGCTGGCTTCCTGGAGGGCGGCACCGACGCCTGCCAGGTGAGCCCCGGGGGCCAGGTTGCTGCCTTCCTCTACCTGTCAGTCACAGAGCCAGAACTCTGACTTGCTTGTCCCCCACCCAGGGTGACTCTGGGGGCCCTCTGGTGTGTGAAGATGAGGCTGCAGAGAACCGGCTCACCTTGCGGGGTGTCATCAGCTGGGGCTCTGGCTGTGGTGACCGCAACAAGCCCGGAGTGTACACTGATGTGGCCTACTACTTGTCTTGGATCCAAGAGCACACTGCTTCCTAACTGTTTAGGGAAAGATCATTTCTTCCCCTGTGTTCCTGGAGTGGGCCGGTGGCTATGGCATGATCCTCCACACTGAAGATTGTACTCCGGGCCACCAGTCAAGTCCCAAGGGCACAGGGACCCAATAAAGTGCTTCAAAAATGCTCCTAAGGATTCACCCTTCAAAAATGCCAAATGGAAAAACAGGTGCATCAGCTTTTCCTCTACCCTCACAAGACAGTCTGCAAGATCTTAACGATCGATTTAGACTCTTGTCCAGGCTCTACTATTTACTCAACCTTTCCTATGTACCAATCCCTGTGCAAGGTGCAGGTTATTCCTCACTGGAAGGCATTCATTTTCTGTTTACACAGTAACAGGTTCTCAGCCTTGACCATAAATCTAGGGGAGCTTTTTGAGCCTATCTATGGTCAAGATCAACCTGAGATCAATTAATCAACATCTCTAAGGATGACACTTGAGATGTGGTATACTTTTAAAAGTCTCCAGGCAATTCCACATGCACTAGAGGTTGAGAACTGTAGTTAGAAATGTTGGAATATGTGTGTAGCAACTGTGGATTAGATCCCCAACACCACCACACATACAAAAAAAATGGCATGGTGGTACAAGCTGGTGGCCAAGGAACTTTTTAGGCTACATGTCATATACTAAGGTGGAAATGGGTAGAAAACAACAATCCATAAATCTTCCTGCCCATCTTGTTACTAAAGTATGGCTTAATGCTTCCCTTAAAGAAGAGAAATGTGGCTGCCCAGACTAGCACCCCTTTCCTGATTTTTTTGTTTTGTTTTGTTTTGTTTTGTTTGAGACAGGGTCTCACTATGCAGTACTGGCTGGCCTCAAACTCAGAGATCCACTCTGCGTCCCAAGTGCTAGCATTAAAGGTGTGTACTACCACACCCAGCCTTCTGCCTTCTGGTCTTTTAAATTATTTTATTTTATGTGGATGAGTGTTTTGCCTGCATATAAGTGCATCTATCTGTGAAATGCCCATGGAGGCAAAAAGAGGGTTTCAGATCCCCTGGAACTGTAGTTACAGAAGTTGTTAGCTGCCATGTTGGTACTGGGAACCAAACCCCATTCCTTTTAACTGTTGAGCCATTTCTCCAGCCCACTTTCTGCTCTTAAAACTATCTTTTCATTTATTGATTTATTCAGACATTCATCTCCCCAGTGCTGAGAATATAGGCTTCATGATCAAACCCAGTTTATGTGGTACTGGGGATCAATTTTAGGGCTTCATGCATGCTAGGCAAGTACTCATCTACTGCTTTCTACCAACTGAGATACATACCCCAGTCCTTACACCCATTTAAAATTTTTTTTTTATTATGTTTGTGTGGTTTATTATGATGTGGTTGTGTGGACATGTGTTATCGCAGTGCTCATGTGGAGGTCAGAGGACAACTTTATGGAGTCAGTTCTCTCCTTCCACTGTTTACATGGGTTCTGGGAATGGAACTTAGGTGCCAGGCTTTACCTGCTGAGCCACCTTGCAGCCCCTCATCCATCTTTATTTTTCAATTTTTAGATAGAGTCTCCTTGTAGCCTCAGCTGTGGCCTGGAACTTGCTAAGAAGACCAGGCTGGCCTTGATCTTACAGAGATCTACCTGCCTCTGCCTCCCAAGTACTGGGATTGAAGGCATAAGTCACCCATCTTTTTTTAATAATGTTTTATTATTTTTATTTTACGTATATGAGTGTATTGCCTCTATCTGTGTAAGTGCACCCATGTTGTCTTGTGCAATGCCCATGGAGGTCAGAAGGTGGCCCTGGATCTCCTGGAACTGGAGTTACAGATGGTTGTTAGCTGTCATGTGGGTGCTGAGAATCGAACCTGGGTCCTCTGTAAGAGCAGTTAGTGCTCTTAACTGCTGAGTGGTCTCTCCAGCCCCACCCCTCTTTAAATTTTTTTTAAAATTTATTTTTAGTTTATATGTATGAATGTTAAGTAAATGCACCTGTCTGTAATGCCAATGGAAGCCAGAAGGCCTCAGATTCCATGGAACTGGAATTGCCAACAGTTGTTTGCTGCTGTGTGGTGCTGGGAACTACAAGAGCAGCCAGCACTCTTACCCAGTGAGCCACTCACCCATCTCTTATCTTTTATCTTTTTTTTTTTCCTTTTGAGACAGGGTCTTCCTGTAGCCCCAGCTGGCCTGGAATTCACTATGTAAGACCAGAACTCACAGACATCTGCCTGCCTCAGCCTCCTGAGTGCTGGGACTAATGGGACTAAAGGCCTGCACCACCATACCTGGCTCTCACCCATCTTTTTAATGATCCAATTGAACCTCGGTTTTCGAGGATCTTTGGGATTACTACCCTCATTTCCTCGTACACGCTATTTGTAGAATTGCTCCAAGCGTAAACTCCAACACCCCCACATTCTCTACCTAGGTAGCTGTCCTGTGATGTTCATCCGCGTCACAGCCCTGCCCTGCATACCTCACAGCCCACAGGCGTTCCTAGCTCACAGTGCTGAGAGCCGCCCTCCCAAGTGCAAGGACAAGGTGCAGAGCCGGACTCTGAGCGGGATGGGTGACTGGAGGGGCTACATCAGTGCTGTGCTGCGGGACCAGCGCATCGACGATGTGGCCATCGTGGGCCACTCGGACAATCGCTGTGTGTGGGCATCACGGCCGGGGGGCCTGCTGGCAGCCATCTCTCCGCAGGAAGTGGGTGTCCTCCTGGGGCCAGACCGGCACACCTTCCAGCAGACCGGCCTGAGCGTGGCCGGCCGTAGCTGCTGTGTCATCCGAGACAACCTGCTAGAGGAGAGCGATGGAGTGCTGGACGTGCGCACCAAGGGGATAGACGGGCGTGCGATCTCTGTGGGCTACACGCCCAGGGCGCTTCTTGTGCTCATGGGCAGACGTGGCGTGCATGGAGGCATCCTCAATAAGACAGTGCACGACCTGATGGACGGGCTGCGCAGGCAGTGCTCGTAGCTGGACAGCCAGACCACCCATGGTGGTAGGGGGACCAGAATAAATTGTGAACTGGGTGCTGAGGGCTCATCTTCCTTGTGGGGGTGGGGAGCTGGTAATAAGAAAATCAGTTTATGGGAAGATGCTTCCAGAAAAAAATCTGGTGGGCTGAGATTATAAATCTAGAAGCTTCTGGGCCTGCTGTGCCCTACCCCCTCCTTCCTTCCTGACCACCCTGCAGAGACCCCTGGCCTGATTGCTACTTCCTGGGACCTTCCCAGCGTCCTAGGAATCCACAGCTGACAAGGAATCCAAGGGTGGTCACCCTCTCAAATTCTATTTCAGGCTTTAGTGTTCTTTCTTAGAGAATTGCCCATATATCTAGGCAAAACAGTGAAAGGAGTCATTCCCACCAATCCCTTCACCACGCACACACCAGCCAGGGCCTGTGTTTTGGGTTGGAAATGAGTGTAAAATTGTCCCTCAGTATCTGTGGAGATTGGTTCTAGGACACCTATGGAAACCCAAATCCTCAGATACTCAAGTTGTTTGTGACACTGTTTGCATACAATCTACCTACATCTTCTGGTGAACTTTATCATCTCCAGATGACTTATAATACCTAATACGATGTAAAAACCAGACAAATAATTGCTATGCTGTATTGCTTAAAGAATACTGACTTTTTAAAGTCTGTACATACTCAGTATAGATGCAGTTAAGAAATTTTTTTCTATCCACAGCTGGCTGAATCAGCAGGTGTAAATCCCATGGATAAGGAAGGTCAACTATACTTATGCCCCTCCACTTGGTGGGACACTAGCAAGAGTTGTGAATGGGTGATAAGATGTGGCTGGTTGCTTAGAGAGATATTCTGGGGCTACCAAAAGGCCTCCCCAGGAGGGTCCGCTGAAGAACATGTCCAGTAGCATCACAACTGTGTCTGAGCTCTCAATCTCCCTTCCCCTCTGGGGCCCAAAGGCCCCAGAGAAATACTTAGCCTACAGGGAAGGAATTTGGCACCTATCCCATTGACCCTCACTCTACAGGATGAGGACAGAGGTGGGAGGATCTGGTCTCTGCCCTCTATGCCCAGGGCAAGGTCTTTCTTTGCCTACCTCTGTCCACCCTACCCCATGCTCCAGTGCTCCTGACAAGACCCCACTAGTCACTCATTCTATAGGACTGGTTTTAGAGAGAGTGACATTGGTGGGTTTAAAGGACAAGAGATATCAGGGCATGGCAGTGCAGGAGAGTCCTTTGCACACTTACTTTGAGGATGGCTCCAGGCTGTAAGGAGGGGCTTTGGGGGAATTTAAATTATGCATTAAACTCATGAAGGCAGGGCCAGGCAAAGAGTAAGTTTGCAGGACTGTGGGCTGTTAGGGTGCTGTTTGAGGGGAGATGATACTTGTGCTGGATAGCTTTAGTGTCAACTTGACACACCTGGGTTGAGGGAGCCTTAATTGGGGAATTGCCTCCATTGGACTGGCCTGTGGCCATGTCTGTGGGGTATTTTCTTGATTGTTGAATAATGTGGGAGGGCCCAGCCCACTGTGGGTGGTGCCACCCCTGGGCAGGTGGGCCTGTGTTGGATAAGAGAGCAAGCTGAGCAGGGGCCAGGGAAGCAAGCCAGTAAGCAGCGTTCCTCCATGGCCTGTGCTCCAGCTCCTGCTTCCAGGTTCCTGCCCTGAGTTCCTACCTTGGACTCCCTGATGAGCTGCGACCTGGGAGATGTGAGCTGAATAAACCCTTTCTTCCCCAAGTTGGTATTGGTCAGAGTATTTTGTCACAGCAATGAAGAACAAACCAGAACAATATTGCTGAACCCCAAGCCTTTATCTTTTCTCTGCCCATAGATGCAAAGCAAAAATACTTCCAAATGCACAATGAGAGTTTACTTTCTGGTTTTCATCAGGCAGGGCTGGGAAAGGGGCTCACAGTGGTGGTTGAAGCTCTTGGTAAGGATGAGGATTGTGACATGGGGGAGGAAGGTGGCAGGGAGGGTGTGGGATTTGGTCAGTGATTCAAACACATCAAAGCACAAGTAGATACACAGCTACCAGTTCAGAGCCACCTTTACTCTTGCCCATCACAGTCTTGTGCATGAAAGGACACAAGGTCAGGTGGCATATGCAAAGGAACCAAAGTCATACTTGACAGCCTACAACTTACATACAGTCTCCCACAGGTTTTCCTGTACATATGTGAAGGCTGATACACATTTGTATACAAATACAGGTGTCTATACCTATACTGATGATCACGCAGACCATTTAACACGTGCATTCGTGCATACTATCTCTTAGTTACAAAAAGCCCAGACAGGTGCCCAAGGGTGGCAAAGAATCATGCATACACCCAGGGTGATATGTATCCACATGCATGCATGCACTCACACAACCTTCTGCCCTTCCACTGTGGGCTCCATAAAAAGGCTCTTCCCTGCTCCAGGCAGTAGCCTCAGTCTACAGCTTAGAGGCGGGTGGCATTATGGTGAGCAGGCAGTGCAAGACGGGGAGAGGGTGTGGCAGGGGGCAGCTCCTCCAGGAAAACTCTAGGGGGAAGCTGGGGTGAGCGGGGCTCAGGCCTGGCATAGCACAAAGTAGCACGTGTGATGAGGCCATCTAGGGGTTGCAGGGAATGCATCCACTGGGGCAGAAAGTCCCATGTCTGCAGCCACTTGGGCAGGTGCCCGGGACTTCGACTCTGCAGGACATTGACAAACACCACAAAGGCCAACAGGGCCCCAAAGGGAGCTCCCACACCTACCATAGCCTGCCAGCCTGCCATGGAAATACCAAACACCAGTGAGGGCAAAAGCAGGAAACATACAAGGAGATAGAGGACAGCAAACCAGCGGTACTTGGCAGTACGTTTGCCTAGTGCCTTGGCCATGCGGATAGGCAGGCGTGTGCAGGGCAGTGGGTACCACAGCAGAATTCCTGAGATGTTGAAGAAGAAGTGGCAGAGCGCAATCTGCAGGAGAGGGGTGAGAGGGGATGAAGTGGTCAGGAGCTCCCATGTGAGCCCTTGCAGAGCTAGGAGATAGGAGCCCCATGTCATCTGAGTAGCAGGAAAGAACATCAGAGCTGATGTGACTCCAGATCATGACAGACTATTGGTGCTAGTGATTAAAATATTATAGTTCTGGACTCCTTGATAAATGACAACTACCCTGAACTCTTTACATTTCTCCTATTGATGCCCTCACCACCTCAGGAACTCCCCAGTAACAATCCAGAAGCTAAAAGATTTGTTTTCCTGACACAGGGTCTCACTATGTAGATCAAACTGACCTTGAACTTATGGCCATACGTCTGCCAAGTGCTGGGATTATAGACACGTACCATCTGGCTTTAGCAGCTATTAAAGATTAATACTAGTTTCTGGCTCACTCATTGTGGTTCTCTCTCTCTCTCTCTCTCTCTCTCTCTCTCTCTCTCTCTCTCCTCAATATGCTGCCGCAGCCGGCCTGAAACTCTATATATAGACCAGGCTAGCCTCAATCTCACAGAGATTTGTGCCTACCTATGCCTCCTGAGTTCTGGGATTAAAATGTGTACTACCCGACATGGGTGCACTTACCTACATGCAGGCAATACACACATACACATAAAAAAAAAATAAAGTGTGCACTACCATGCCTGGCTCTATTGTGAGCTCTTAATTGGTCAGTATCTTGCCAGTGGCTCTTTTGCTTCTAGTCCTATTCCCCCTTCACCATCTGCTCATCATCCCCAATTCTATTCATCCTTAATCTCTCAGGCTAGGCTAGGCCTCTAGCACTCCACCACAGTGCAACCTGGACTTGCTATTGTTTGTCGATTGATAATTTAGCAGTGGCTCCCTATTAGACACCAAGGTCTTGAGAGTGGAATCAAATCTACTGTGTCCATAGTGGTTTCCAACAAGCATAGTGGGTAACCTTAGCAGGCAATTGATATTGGTTACATGTTGTCACATCCTCCATCAGGCTTGCACCCCAGCCTCTAGCTCTGTGCTGCCACCGACAGCCCATTCTCCCCAACATACCTGGAAAGAACTGGACAGTTTCTCCCTGGGGCTGGCCAGTGCTGCCAAGATGGCTGTGGTGGTGGTGCCGATGTTGGAACCCAGGGTGAGAGGGTACGCCCGCTCAATACTGATCACACCCAGGCCTGGCAAGCAGGAAAGAGGATGTGGTTCTTCTCTAGATCCTTCCTTCAGCCCCAACGCCCATCCCGCAACCGACCCCACCACTGTTCACAGCTGGGTACTAGCACTCACCAATGAGTGGGGTGATGGCTGAGGTGAACACAGAACTGCTCTGGACAACGAATGTCATGCTGGCACCCACTACCATAGCAAAGTAGCCTGTTACCCAGGTGAAGGGGGCTGGAAAGTCTGTAAGAAACCCAAGTCCCCAGAAGGTTGGGTCAATGAGAGGGCACTGGAAGAGCAGGTGTTTGATCGTAATTTCCTGCTAGAACCTAGCTAGTCCCTGTTTGTCTGCAGCAGCTTTCATTTGCCCTGCTTCTCTTGAATCAAAGCCCTTTCCTGCTTGGGCTATCACACTGCCCTGCTGTTGTCCCGACTATTCTCTTTTCCCAGAATATCCTCCTTAGCATCTAAATTCAGCTGTCCTTCAATTTGCCTAGGACCAGCACCCATGCTCTAATATGCTTCACGTCTAGATGACTTATTATACCTAATTACAATGTAAAGATTGTGACTGGTGAGATAGCTTAACGGGAACAGTAACTTGCTGCAAAACCTGACGACCTGAGTTTGATCTCTGGGACCCACATAGTGGAAGGAGATGACTAATGCGTGCAAGTTGTCCTCTG